ATTCCTTACCCGCCACCCTTCCCTTTATGGCTTGTCTAGCAGCCACAACAGGACGTTGCTGGAGTGTGTCCCCAACCCCATATTGCATACCAAAGTGGCAGAGCCCCCTGGGAAATGCCAGCTATTAATGGGGCCCCAGCAGCTGGTAGGAGGTACAGGCGCCTCTAGCAGGTCTTTTTGGTGGCTTTCCAGCAGGGAAGTGCTATTCTGCCAGTGGAGAAAAGGGGTTCTGCCCTGTGGGCTATCCAGAGATTAAGCTATCTGGTGTAGCCCTGGCCCTAAAGGCATTACTAGCCCTCATCCTTGTTTTGGCTACGTCAAAAAGTGAAGGCTGCTGGATAGAAAGTGTGTGGTAGCTCTTTATGCACATGAAAAACAGGCTTGCCATGGGGGTCATGAGGGAAGAGGCGGGGGGGAGGGGTCAGAGCTCAGTAGGTCACAACTCAGGAAGTGTGCTTGCTTGTGTGTGAGAGCTATACACCCATTTCTCCCAGCTGAGACCAATTCAACCCCAGCCCCGACTGCCTCACCCACCTGAACCAGCACTTCCATCGAGGTCCCAGGAAACAGGTCCTGCTCCTGCATCCCAAAGAGGTAAGCACTGACATAGGTGAAGCTGCTGCCCAGCAGGGTCACGATGTTTAGATTGGGACTGGACATCTTCACAATCCTCCAGGGAACAGAGCGACAGTTACGAGAACAGTTCACTTCACAAGTGGAGCTGGGCCACCCGCCATGGCATTAATACATGCCAGTAAGGAGCTAGGCCCTCTGACCTGGCTACAGCTGCCCCCCTGAAACAGCTTCCCCTACACACCTGATGAGCTTCTGCAGTTACAGCGTGCTCATCAGTGTGGCACTACCAGGCCTCCATTATTGGTGCAGTCAAATACCTCACTATCCTCAATGTATGGGTCTTCCTGACGCTCCTGGTATCCCCATTTTACAGTCTAGAGAGATGAGTACTGGAGTCAATGCTGCTATGGGAACACATGTGCACTTCCCTATACTAAGTTCCATCTTGCTTGTTTGGGTACCAGCAGAGAGCAGTGTAGGCAGGGTATCACATGCACTGGCCACCCAGTAAAGGCCCATGCTGGAGCCAGCACTGTCACAGCTTCCCTGTGATCAGTACACTTGCCCACTGAGCTAGGGCGAGTCTCTGTGCCCTGTAGCCACCCCTCTCATGCACACTGCACAGACATGGCTGACGTGGCCTACCCAAAGTCATGCAGGAAATCTGTTGTGTGTGAACATGTTTCTCCCAGGCTCTAGTCTGAACCCCACTTCTCTATCACAGGAGGGCAGGTGTCAGAGAGAGAAAACCCATGATAGAATAACCAATGGCCTCACTCCAGTTCTTCATTTGCTAGTGCTGTGTTTGGCTTACTTTCCAGTGCCCCAAGTGAGGAGGGTTTAATCCCTTCCCTTGAAGAAGCCACACCACAGTTCAAACTGTTTTCCCCAATAGTCAGCCTACAGCTCCCCTCCTTTCACTTCCACCCCTTACTCTTGGTTGCCCCTATCAGTAGGACAACAAGTAAATCTTCCCCAACCCTTTCACCCCTCAGATCCCTGCTGAATGGTAACATGGCACACTCCTTGGTCACTCCTGTCAGACAAGAAATTTTACACTCCAGATCTCACCTCACAAGCCAGACCCTTCATTCTCTGATAATATTTATTGCTATTCTCCCAACTCTCTCCAGTTTCTTTATATTGTTGAAGTGACAGGGAACCCAGAATTCCGGTGTCAGTGTTTCTGCTCCATTCCCTCTATCTCCAGACCTCCACTTAAGCAGGAGATGGGACATTAACTCCATCTTCAACTACATATGGGAGTGAACTTCCTCTGCTTTCCCAGGCTCATCAGCCCAAGCTCTATTTATCTACTGCAGTGCAAGTCAATAAACTGTGTGAGTTAGACTTTCATGTTGGGAATGTTTTTGAAAGGTCTGTAACCTTTTGTAATAGATTAAAAGCTGCTGCAGATTTTTTAGAGCAGGACAGATGGACATCAGTCAGGAACAATCCTGCCTTGAGCAGGGGGCTGGACTAGATGACTTCCTGAAATCCCTTTTCAGTCCTACTTTCCTTTGATCCTAATTCCCAGTTTGTTGTAAAATTAAGTAGTGCTCTACCAGCTGTATCTCATGCCCAGGACCCCACTGCAGGATTGTGGGGCTAACATACTGTTTAGCACAGAGGGTCCTGGGCAAACTTGGAAAAGTATTGTGATGAACTGGACATAACTACCACCCTTCATTTAAGATAGTTGCTAAAAACAGCCAAGTTCCCAAATGCAATGACAGCTAAAACAAAAGCAGCCTCCACACCAAATGTACTTTCCTGCTCATCTAGATGCACCCATGGTCACAGGTTCTATTGGCCAGTGCTTTGTGAAAGTCTGTGTGCATGTGGAAAAATGCAGAAACACCAGAGAAGCAGAAACACAAAAAAGGCAGCCAGAAAATGTCAGACATAGCCAGAGCAAGCAGCAGATGTGTGTCAAGAAAAGCTTAAAATGAGACAGATTTGGGGCTAAATATTGGCTGAGAGGGACTTGGGACTGTGAACAAGGGCACTGACTCTTGATTGATCCCTGCTGTTTTCAGAGAAACAGGACTTTGCACGTTCCCTGAGAACAAACAAGCCTGCAATGAAACAACTGACTCCCCATCATCCATTTTTCCTCACGCTGGGAACAACAAGGAGACATCCCAAATCTGGCCAACCACTCAGATCAGAATGGAACAACTGTATATCAAAAGCACAACTGGCCTGCTGTCATGAAAGGGACTTGGATGTAGTTGAGACTATGGTGTCCTCATTCCCGAAGATGAGTTGCTTGTAGTGATGCCCTCAAACTCTGGAACAAAAGCATCAAGCGGTACTTTCTTTCCACCACCCTGGCTGGTCTGCTTGGCATCCCTGGCAGGGACCTTGGAGATAGCAGCATGAGCTGCTACCCCAGCCAAACTGCCACTACTTGATTTCTGTTCTCATCAGGATTATGAGCAAAAGCACTGCCCTACCAAACCAGGCCTCTGCCTGCCTCATCTAGCAGCTCCTCTTCATGCCCTAGCAGGATGGACCCAGGGCCTATGCACATTGGCTCCAGCACTGATCAATGCTGGATGTTAGCGAGGAAGAGGGAAGTATGCCCCATCACAAAAGGGTGATATCTCCCAGCCCTCTGCCAAAGATCAGTTCACATCCTGGAGCACGAGGAACAAGAGCCATTGGAACAGGGGCCCACAGTTATTGCGGGAGGTCCAGCTTGGAGGACAGAGCTCAGATAACCTGCCTCCTACCTGTTGTTCCTGAAGCGAATAGTGAAGGCCAAAAAGAAAAGAGCCAGCAGGACTCCACTGGTGAGGAACATCCACACAATCCCCAGCAAGGCGGCAGAGGAGGAGGGGGAGAGGGAGGTCTTCCCACTGCCCGCAGATGTTGTCTGAAGGGAGATAAAGGGTGGAGAGTGTCTGGCAAGATGGCTTTTCTCTGACTGCTGCCATGCTGTCCCCCAGGATCTGATCATGAGGACAGGCTTTTCTTGCCTCTTACAGCATCACCACATATGCGGGCTGCGCCGAGAACTTAACCAACCATTGTACAGGCTGGAACTCACCTTGCTCTCCCACCTCACTCACAGGGCTAGGAGGAACAAATATTGTCTTCCACCACTACAACCAGCACTTACTATTAGAAACTAAGCATGAAACAGAGTTGGGGACAAAGAAGGAGCCACTGTTAGCCATTCCTTAGCTACACTGGCCCCCAAAATCCTTCTGCAGCAAACATGCACACAGTGTAGCTCACAAGGGGCTTTATGTTACCAAAGTGTTCTCCTGATCCCAAACCAGCCACTCACAAGCCCGGACCCCCTAGGCAGGTTAAAGCAGCCTAAAACATGCCCTAATCTAAGCCAAGTGCTGGGAGCTGAAAGTTAGAGCAGCTTGGGATGCAATGGGATGGAGCAATACACTGTCCTAGTTCTTTGTATTGCCTGCAATGGGACTGGGGCCTAATGGTAATTACCCAGGCTCGATCCTATTGGAAAATTTGCTTATAGGAATGTGACACTGCCAAGGCCTCTTACATCAACAGAGGGCAGCTGTGTTGTGGCAGGCAGCCAGGTGCTAAGTGGCTTGTGCCCAGCAATACAGGAAGAAAAGACTCTATAACTTGGTGCTGATCTACACAGATGTGGCTGCATTACAGAAAGTGGCTTGTTTTTGACTAAGATGTGACACTGGTCTCATCCAGAAGCAAAGTCATTTGCCCTGGGGAACAGGCCTAAAGCACCACTGCAGGGCTTGCTAAGGAATGAACTGGGGAGGAAGAGCATTCTCACTCAGTTATGGTCTCCCTTCCCTATGCACACACACACTGAAGTCATTCACTGCTTGCTTGGAGGCCGGGGGGGTCTCTGAATATTGAAGCTGGGGTAAAGGACTCAATAGACAGCAGAAAGGATTCATGCCCAGTGGGCACATACAGAAGCAGCAGCCCCAGCCTGGAATTGGGGGCTTACACTCTTCTTCCAAAACAATACCAAAATGCACGTGAACTGAAACCACCTGTGTTCCATGCCTGAGGGCCCCACTGTCAGGTGCCATTTCGGGGATGGCAACTTTGAATTAAATCCTTCTTTATTCAACAGCTTTTTGAACATGTTGGGAATGCAGAAAGCCAAGGGGATGGAAAGCTGTTTCAGGTCCATCTTGCAAGGACTTTTGTACCAGGCCATGGTGGAGGATTCTTTGCAATGACTCAGTCCTGAAAGGTTCCTTACCTGCTCCCTGTATCTACCAGGCCATCACCCAGGCCAGTGCTTGGGTTTCCTCCCCTCCTTGTGGAAGACTGCCCCATAAACTGAGGGCCCTACCTCCAGGGTGGAGAATGTCCTCTAGGTCCTAAGACTTTTCCCTAGTACAACTCTGCCCCTCCCTGCTCCCCACAGCCCAAACCTCAGCTCATTCCTACATGCAGAACCTTCTGTTCTAGGGGATGGTGGTGCCCCAAGCAAGCCTTTCATACATACAATTGTGACGGTGCAGAGTTCTGGCAAGCTGCTTGGTCTCTGCACCTGGCTGGTCACACTGGAGTCGCTGTCACACAGGTCAGAGCAGTTTAATCCAGGCTCCATAGCACATCCTTGGCCTTCATTCAGCCATTGCTTCTGGGCAGTGTGGAGGACAAGAGTTAGCTGAGAAGTGGCAGGGAGTCCAAGCCTTCGCTAAGCTATCATAGGAGCTCAAGTTCCCCCAGTGCCAACAACAGCCTCAAAGGTCACCTGTTCTCCCTGTTGCATGTCTCAGGTGTGCAAGGGGACACAGAAGGGCCATGGTGCGGTGGCATCCAGTTCACAAACATCCCCACTCATGACCAGAGCCTGAACGGAGTCAGGAGGAAGCTTTCCAGGCCCTGCAAGCATCCAGGTGTCTGCAGATGCCAATACAAGTCCATGTTAGTCAATGTTACTGCTCCTCTTCACACACCATGGCAATCTTGCCAGTTCACCAGCAGGTGGCAGCCTCCTCCGCTCTTAAATCCCCAAGGCCCCAGCTTCTCCCCACTTTCAGAGCCAGCTGCCGGCACAGTAAAGAAAACTCCTGAGGGCCACAAAGGAAGCAGGCTGTCATTCACCCTGTCACAGATAAAGAACAGCAATTATTGTAGGCCCCAGTGCCCCACGATGGGCCAGAGAGGAACAAGAGGTTTAAATTCTCAGTATTTCAATACTGATGGTACTGTTCTGGCCAATCAGGATCTGGGATCGCACCTAAGGTGGCTGCATGGACACAGCCCTTGCTTCCAAGGTCTCAGTGTTCAGATGTTATTAAATCACTTGTAGCTGCTGGAGTCTCCAAGACAGGCAGATGTGGAAATCTGATCTGGGCCTCGGGATTGGGAAGTACTGGCCAGCAGCTTAGCACCAAGCCTGCAGCCGGAAAAACAGCTTAGCTGGGAGGGTGCCTAGCAGCAAGGCCTCCCCACTGAGGGTTTCACCCTACCTAGGGCAGAGGGAAAGCACAGCACCCCCAACTGGCACAGATGTCATAATTTCCTGGAAAGCCACCTTGCCCATAGGCAGAGGCTAAGGGCACCACACTGACCCTACTGTGTGCCTTTCTCCTTTTCCCCGGTGGAAGAAGGGGATCTCAAACCCCATGTAGGTGGCTAAGATGTACAGCTCCTTGAACCAAGTTTTATAGAAAAGCAAGGCTGGAAGGGACCTCAAGCGCTCATTTGGTCCAACCAGGGATCGAACCTGTAACATTAGTGTTATTAGTCCCACCATCTAGCCAATTCCCCGGCAGAATGCCAAAGCTTTACTGGTTCCAGGTGAGGCAGCTGCTGAATCCCTGGAGATTCTCCTTGATCCAGCACAGCACATGGTCATTAAATATGGTTGGTCAAATAGGGAAGGAGTCACTCCTCACCTTATATGAAGTATGTGCTTAACTGCTCAGCTGTCTCAGGGTCCCAGCAATGGCCACACTCAAAGACAACTCAAAAGCCTCATGCCCCTGTTAACTCTCTTGCAGGCCTGGCTGCCCAGTGTTCTACACTGCATCCCTGTGATGGCTCCCCTCTGCACCTTCATTTCTGTTCCTTATTTGATCCTTGGCCACGGGGAGGTACTGGTCCCCATTACCATGTTACACATGAGGTCTTACCCCCACATATCTGTATTCAATTAGCACTGCCCCCCTGAGAAGCAATAGATTGTTATTTATTGTTGGGTCATAGCAATAGTTTTGGTGAAGACACAATTTGGACTCTTCTCCCAGACACTGCTTATCAGCTGGGTATCTGTGATGCTAGTCTCACTATGCTGTCAGATGCATTAGCATTTAGGTGGCTTTTCATCAGTCCATGATGGTCCATGTACCTGAGCTAAAAATTAATGGCCTTTGCTGAGAAATATTGTCAAATCCTGAGATCCTTATTCAGGCAAAACCCCTGTTGACTTCAGTGAGTGAAGAAGGGCTGAGATACAACTGAGGAATGGTGCTGGGATGTGCCACACATTTACTTTGCTTTCTGTTAGTAAAGGCTTAGATATCCTCAGAAGCTAAAAGACAAGATTCTCGGCTAGGGCAAACCTCTCTACACCTGCTAAAAGTCTGCCCCCAAACAGATATCATGATCAAAGGCAGGGTTATCCACATGGATGAGGCATCCATTCTGCAGTGGAACTGAGTCCCACCTCTTTGCACCCCAAAGTGGAAGCCTTTAACAAATAAAGTAGCCCTCAAGCTAGGTACCCTATACGAGCCTTATTATTACTAGTCTTGTACCCCCGAATTGTGAACGCAATATAGGTTCTTCTCCTTCTGAGGCCTCCCATACAATGACCAACAGGAGCCTGGTCTTTTCAAATACTCTGCTTTTGAGACTGCAACTCCTCCCAGGAACATATCCTAGGACCAGCATTTTGGGTTCCTATGCAATTAATTTTAGAAGGTTATATGCTACTGACAGGCTGGATAGCGGAAGAGACATACTGTTGTGGGAAAATCTAACTGATGTGCAGGGCACCAGACATCACGGTGGTGATGGTATTGAGACTGATAGAGATAGCAGGAAACAGGCATGCCCACAACATAATTAATATCACCAGTCACATCTGTTCATGCTCCTGCTTTGCTTATGGAATTTTCTCGGCCTATGAAGAGGTTGGGAAATTCAGTGAAGCCATGCTGACAGGGAGTCAGACACAGCAAGCACATACGTGTGCGTGTGTGTGTGTGTGTGTGCGCGCGCGCTCATGCACGTGGGGGGGGAGGGATGCTCACTGTGACCCCCAGTCCTCTCCTAGCTCAGTAGAGTTGTGTGAACCAGAGGCCAAACCCTTTGATTCTTCAACAACCACCATCCTCCCTACAATGCAAGCCTTCCTAGGAATCTCTGGAGGATTTTCCTGGAGGAAAATCACTTGGCAGGGAGGTATTGGCATTTCCTAGGTAGGGTTCAGTCTGGGCCAGACAGAGGGTGCAGCTTCAGTGACAGGACCATATACTTTTAAAAGGAAAAAAAAATCCCCCTCTTTATGCCCAGAGGTCTCACCCCATCAGATGCACACATCCAACAGCAGCTGGCCAAGAGCTCCTGCCAGCATGCAGCAGATTCACAGCAAGAATCCAAGTGCTCACAGCTTTATTTTAAAAACCAAAATTTCCTCCCCTGAGTCAAAGCTCATGCTCCTCACAGAAGGAACGAATGGTGCATGTGGCCATCAGCACTGCAAAGGCACCCATGCAATTCAAGACCATGCCTGGTAGCACAATTCCTCCTGAAGCTTCCAGGCCCCCTGGGTACCCTTCTGCCAGCAGGCCCTTGTGGTTGTGACAAGCCGCCTGAGCCCTTCCCCTGCCCACACCCCCAAAGTCAGAGGGCTCCCTTCTGTGCTAAGCTGTTTGGTATCACCTGAAAGTCAAAAGAGCAGCTAGGGAAATACTCAGCAAATGGCTTCCCTCACAAGCAGGCCAAAGGACAGCAGGGTCATCCACCAACAAGTAAGAGAAGGAAGGAAAACCCTGAATTGTGGGGACAGCTCTGCTCTAGGAAATGACAATGTGGGAAAGCAGAGCCCAAATGGGGCTCCACATTCCTGCGGGTGGCTGTTCCTCAGCAGGGGATCAGAAACCTTAAAAACCTCCCTATTGAAAACCCTTTCATGCAGTTATGCAAATGGCCATAGTGCAATCTGGAGGAAAGCTGGTCACCAAGGACAATTAGCCCTCGTTAGTATGCAATAAAGCGAGCACTAGTTTTAGCATGGGCATCGCCACAAGGCAACCGCCACTTCCATTTGGGCTCCATCCCTTAATGAGAGCTGGCGGAAACCATGCCGCTCCCTTTCAATGTGCGGAGCCTGGGAAGGCAAGGAACGTCAATCATGCTTCAGGACACAGCTGGGCAAAGCTCCTTAACTGCCCTGAGGGCAGAGCTCATAGGGCAGGTCCCCTGTGGGACTCTCACGGTTTCAGCATGGGTCACTTCGCTCAGCATCCAGAAGTGGGGCTGGTGCACTGCCAGCTGAAAGTCATGGCTGTTCCAGTTTCCAGGAGGTCACCACAGCTGCCATCTTGCCAGCTACCACCAAACCAGGGTGGGGCTGGGGCAAAATTTGCCTGGCAAACCCCTAAGGGCTGTGAGAACCATAGGTAGTGAATCAGGGCCTAGAGCCAATGCTGAGCTGGTGCCAGCATGCACCAGGTTAACAAGTGTGGCACAAGTGTATGTGCATTTGCAAGGCCCTCCAGGGGACACCTCTTTCTTGTTCACTATAGGGGAAGCAGTATCCCCTCCCTTCTTCCAAATCCTAGAAGTCTCCTCCACTGCAGCAAAGAATGAGCTCCCTGGGGTACTAGAATAAGATGGTCTTTTCAGCTCAACTCCCTTGTTTGTACAGGAAAATCTATGAATCTCCTGGCAGGCTTTTACTGCTCAGTCCTAGGGATGAAATGGCAGAAGACCCCAACCACCAGGGGATGGCTCCTACCTTCCAAGACAAGGGGGGCTGTGGATTCACAGCTCTGAAAGAACTCAAGAGATCCTGTGGGCAATGCCAAAGGGTTACTTTCAAGGATGAGATGGTTGCTCATTTACTGTTGAGCTTTTGGCTGAAACATTTACCTGAACAAGCAAGAAAGAATTTTGATGCTAGAAACCATCATGGCCCCATTTCAAGTTTCAAATTAAAATTTCAATAACTATCCACAATAACTTCTAGAACCTCAAAAACTAAGTGAACAGAACAGACTAACAAGGGTTTTTTTTTCATGTTTATCCAGAATGCTAGGAAACATTAGGATGGTAAAACTTTTCTTAGGCTGGTTTTCACTCTAAATAACTGTAGAAAATGTGAGTGCTGCTGAACAATACAGCAAAAGGGGAATTAAACTAGCATTTAGCTGTTAAGCATTTGGTCTCTGACTCAATAGGCCAGAAGCTAAGAAGAAAAAAGTGAGAGAATAGCCTGCAGTAAAGAAGAAGTAAAGTAAATCCATCCAGGAAGAGCATGCACCAACTGCAGATGCTTCCCAGCCTGATGAAAGGTATTTATACCCGAAAGCTTGCGAAGAATACTTTTTTCAACTATCTGAGTTGGTCTAATAAAAGATATCAGATATTCCCAAAGAACCGTGTCTGTCCATGTCCTTAGACCAACACGGCTACAACTTACAGCCCTGCAGTAAAAAACATATTCTTCTAAAGCAGAAGTAAAACCAGTGGTAGGTAGCAGATGGAAAGTGCTCATCTCATAAGGTGCCAAAAATCTCTTTCTTTGGATTCTTCAAGATCAAAGGTGTCACTGAATGAAACGTTGTTTACTGGAAGTGGATGACCAGCAACAATGATGGATATGATTATCTTGCAAAGACAACATTTTGATGCCCTAACTGATTTTAAAAATTGTGTAAATTTGTGTTCCAAGCTCTCACTTTCATTTAAATACCATTTTGTTTGCTTTTTTGAAAACCATCACCACCCTCCAAATATCATAGAGGCTAAGATTGAGAGAACCTATAAAACTGACACAAAATATAAGAGCCCAAAATAGGAAGAAGAGTAATAAACAGGCCTGACAGAAGGTAAATCCAAGTTCCTCCCTTTTTACCCATCAGTTGAAACAGAGCATCCAGACTTCTTCTGCTTGTAAAGGAGACTTTGTCATAGTTCAGTTGGTCAAAGAATGAAAAAGTGAGGAAGTAGTCACAGAAGACAGAACAGTTGAATTCAGATATATATCATTTAAAAAAAAAACATCCTGCACTCCTGTTTACCCACTGTAGCAGGGTCTGCCACGAAGAGGGTGGGTAAACCTGACCCCTCAAGTAGAAATCCACTGGGACCTTCAGTGCACAGAAGAGAGGGCAATGGTGCATGCATGTTCATGCACCACACTGTCCAGCAGGGGGCAGTACGGTGTACATCACCAGTGCCATTATGCACCACGGATGTAGAGGAACCCTGGGAGAACAAGACTCACCAAGACAGTCGCACATTGCAGGGAAGAAAAAGCATGAAATACTAGCAAGCAGCAGCAACAAGGCAAACTACACCACGTTACAGCTCACCAGCCCATCTCACATCTGGCTTCCTACACCTGCTCCAGGCTTCCTTACTCCACAGACATGGTGAATATCACCAGGACCATAAATATTTCAGTGGTTTCAGACTCTGGGCCCGGCATCCTTCTCCCCCACTCCCATGAATATTTAAAGATCTCCATAGTGCAGAGCCGCACATATTCTGCTTGGAAGAGTCATAGCAAATAAAGGCTGGCACTTGTGCTGTGCAATTTTGCAGGACAAAGACACAGCAGGATGCTGTGTTGTAATAGTATGACTCTTACACGTACCCACAATGGCATTGAGTCAACTTGGCATGGCCTTTATATTCACACTGGGATGCAACCACAGGTGTACTACCTTAGAATCACAGAAAATGAGGGTTGGAAGGGACCTCAGGAGGCCATCTAGTCCAACCACCTGCTCAAAGCAGGACCAGCCCCAACTAGATCATCCCAGCCAGGGCTTTGTCAAGCCAGGCCTTAAAAACCTCCAAGGATGGAGATTCCACCGCCTCTCTGGGTAACCTGTGCCGTACTTCACCACCCTCCTAGTGAGAAAGTTTTTCCAAATATCCAACCTAAACCATCCCAATATCAAACCTAAACTTGTCATCATCATGCCTCCATAGTCTAGGTCTGAGATCCTTGGCCAGCCATTGCTTCTCTACAGCCTTCCAAGGCACTTGACATGGCCAGTGATGTCCTTCAGTAGGGCAGATCCTGCTGCCTCCATGACTTCACAAGCAGTCTCACTGCCTTCAGTGGATTTAGCACAAGTGTAACTAACCTGCACAGAGGGATTATGTGAGAAGGCACAAAAGAGGATGGCCTACAATTCCCTCTCCCTTAGCTCCTCTATCTCTGCAGAGTAACAGAAGTACAAGGTGCTATCACCCGATTACTTATTTGGCTATTGTTCAGAGTAGAACCGTGCTCCGAGAACTTTCTATTTTAAACTGGCATAAAGGGACAACTGCTTTTTTCTCCCCATGAGATCCTTCACAACAGTATCATCACATCTGAGGCATAATTAGGTCTCTCTAATTATTCCACAAGCTGGCTTAAGCAGGTACACAGCTGCACAAAACAGATGGTATGAGTTTCAGGACAGGTGGTAACCCTAAGAAACACATCTCTTTTCAGGGCAGGGCAGGTGTGGAACTTGGATGCCAACTACATTATTGACGGAGGAAGCGAGAAGGAGGCTTACATTCCATAGCTACATCAGCTCTGCAGGCCTGGCAGAGTGAATGTGTTTTTTGGATGACCAAGACAAATGCAGTAGAACCATGGATTTCAAAGCCAAAAGGGAAGACTATGGTTTGCTTAGTCAGGCTCATAGCACTTCCCCATGAAGCCTCAATCAAAGTCTATATCTGTGTGTTAGAGTGTAGTCTCCACCCCTCAGTGGACCTATGGGCAGCAGTACTGAAGAAGAAATGCACCATCACACTTCACTCTCCCTGTCAAGCTCAGTTTGCTTTAACATCTTAATTTCCTGCAGCTACAAGCAACACTGGAGGGACTTGCAGGCAATGTGCTGCCCATGAGCCATGAGTTGTGGACCACTGTGGTACAGCTCAGCAGGACTCGGTGCATGGGGCTCTTGGTGGTTATACACCCACGCTCAGGCAGTAACTGCAGGGTGTGGGTATATGTATAATAGATCGGTACGAAATGCAGCTGCACTGGATCTATCAGGTGACAGAAGAGAAACACAGGATGCATACACAATGCAGGTTGTAATGCAACACTTGCTGCCCCTGCCAGACAGCTTCGAGTTATGGGGGGATCTAATTTCCTGCCCACAATGGATTCAGTGGCCGGCTGCTGCACCACCCCGTCAGTCTGCAAACTGCCCAGGCGTGCAATGGAAAAGCCAGACCTAGGCAAAGACTCCTCAAAATGCCATGGTCTCATACTCTGCTGTGCTGCCCCGTCAGGTCCCAAGTGCTTTATTTATCAAGCTCCCACTGGACTTGCCACAAAAACTCACACTGACAGTCCAATGTTAAAAATCACATCATCTCCTCTCTCTCGCCCTGTTTTCTCAATGCGGATGGATGCAGTGGAACTTTATAGACAGCAGGTTGCTGGCATCCCTTTCTGCACCTTGCTCCAGGAGGCTGGCCAAGGTGAAAGCTTTGTATAAAAAAAAAGCAGGCAAATGGCCCTGCAACATCACTTCTTGCTTGCAGAGCTTCTTGCAAGAGTGTCTCCGTGTCCGCAGAATCTCCCTACGAACGCGGGATTGCTTTTAATGTCTGCAAATGCTGTGAGTGAGGGGCTCCCAGCTGCTTCGCACCCCGCTCCCTCCTAGAGATGCGGGGTGTTTCCAGCCCCCCGCCAGCACGGCGGCTGCAACACCATCAGTCCTTAAGCCTGTTGCCTTTCTATTTTTCAAAGCAACCACGCCAAAAAGCTCCTGGTGGGCCCTTGCTCGGCTGTCTGCGTGGGGCATTTGTCTTATTACGTGCACCCACCCTCAGCTCCGTGCCAAGGCCGGTTTCTCGCTTCTGCACCTCCAGAAGGGGCCGAAGCCTCGCTGGGCTGCCCACGCCGAGCCAACCGGGGGGCACAGCCACAGGCTGCCCTCCCCTGTGTCCCCCCCCAGTCTGCAGCTGGCACAGGCCCCCCGGGGAGCATCACAGCCTGCCTCCCAGGAGCGCTCAGCCGCCTTCATCCCAGGGGGGCAGCCCTGGAGAGCCCCTCCCCGACTCGGGCATCTCCCCGCCGCCCCTTAGCAATGCAAACAGCCCCACTTTCCTTTTTTAAGAGCCATGCCTGGGCTCCCGCAGTTTCCGAGGGGGTCAGCCCCCAGCCCGAGAGCCCGCTCGGGGCACCGGCACTCACCGTCCGGCCGCGCCGCAGCTCCTCCGGGCGCGGGGCCGA